TATCCGCAAGTGACCAATGAATTCCTGCAAGGCCGCCAAAAATTTGGCTGTATCGATAAGCTTGACACGCGAATCTTCATCGTGGGCCCCGAAATGGGTGAAGAGATCGAAGTTAGCCTAGAGCGTGGCAAGGTATTGTTTATAAAGCCATTGGCCATAGCAAACGATCTCAGACCGAATGGCACACGCGAGGTCTTCTTTGAAATGAACGGTGAAATGCGTTCAGTCCACATTCCCGACAAGGAGGCTCTAAAGGTAAGGGCAGATGGATATCTCTTTAAATATCGATTCAATTAATATGAATTTATCGTATTTTAAGGTTATCCGAGTGCATCCGAAGGCTAGATCAGATGTAAAAGGTGAAGTGGGCGCCCCAATGCCAGGTGATGTTATTGATATACGTGTCAAAGAAGGCGACAAGGTCGAGAAGGGTCAGCCACTCGTCGTGCTATCAGCTATGAAAATGGAAATGATCGTTCGATCTCCAGATTCAGGTACTGTTAAGAAAATCGAAGTGCAGAAAGGAATGAAATTGGCAGGCGACGATCTACTCCTGGTCCTTGAATGATTAAATCAGAATGAGAATGCTCTAAATCTAAGCTGCCTAAGTTTTCCAAGAATTCTACACCAGTTCAAACACTTCCTTACAGATATACAAACTTAGTTTTCATTATTTAATGAAATGAATTACAACTGAAAGTGAAGTTCAACAGCATTTCATAAACATTTCTACATGCACTTAACGATGAATTCCATAAAAGCCAAATCCTTGTTCAGTTCGGAAACTCGCTTGAAATGCCGTTGCACATAAGGGGTCAGCACTTCGACCAGATTTCCTTTGTTGTAGAACTTTTGTGTGGAGTGCACCAGAGCGTCGCCCAGCAAATGTTGCAGAATCAAGTTGGCTATGTAGGAGTGGCGTGAGTTGGTGCTCCATGCCTTCACGTGCTGCAGCAAGACCAGTCGCTGGTCCAAATTGAGTTGATCCACCAGTTGACGCACTGCGACTCCGTCACGTTTGCGCACAAAGCTGCCGATGATGTCGTAGGTGGCTTTTGGCTTGTCCAACACCAGGGCCAGCTTGAATGCCTTTTCAAGCTGCTCTTGAGCGTGCAGCAGGCACTGGAGTGTTTGCTCTTGCTCCAGCATGGCTTGTCGTTGATCCAGGGCTTCGCTGCGCACTGTTTCCGTAACGTCAGTAAAGCGAATCAGCTTGGAGTCCGCACCGCCTGTATAGAAGTAGCGATTGCTGCAGTTGGACACCGCCACGGACCAAACACGATCGCTGTGCTCGTCGATGGACTGGACACAGATGTTGGTCTTGATGTTCCACAGCTTGAGCAGGCCGTCCGAGGCGGCAGAGAGTATAAATTTGCCATGATCTAGAAACTCTACACGCAATATCGTGCACTCTTGCTCCAGGCGCTTGAGGCAACTGAAATTGGCAATAGACCAAAGACGCAGGCTGCAGTCCGACGATGAGGTGAGCACAACTTGGTCCACAGGCGAGAAGCGCACGCACCACACACCACGAGTGTGACCACGCAGCACGCCAAGCAGTGTATTTGAGTCCGCCGACCAAAGCTTTGCCGTCTTGTCCTGTGATGCGGTCGCCAGGATTTTGTTGTTGACCGCATATGTAACGCAGTTGACTTCCTTGTCGTGGGCCAGCGCTGCATAGAGCAGCGAGAAGGCATACTTGTTACGATCTTGTTTGTCGCGCGACAATTGCCACACCTTCATGCTGCCATCCTGGCAGGCAGAGGCGAAGCCCTTGGCTCCATTATGTGTGATGGCCACGGAACCAATGGTCGCCGTATGGCAATTGGTTTGCTGTGTCAACGGCTGCAAGAAGCAATCAATCTCGTGCGACAGCTTCCACAGATGTATGCTGCAGTCCTTGCCCACCGAGATCAGCAGTTTATGGGATGCAGCCAGCGACATGACCGTATCCGAGTGTCCACAAATCAAACGACAATTCATATTCTGCTCGGTGTCATAGAGCTTAAAGTGCTTGCTGTTGGTTGCCACGGCCAGGTACCGATCATTGTCACCCAGAAAACACATGTCCAAAATCTCATCATTGTAGCCGATCAGTTGCTTTACCAGTTTCAGCTCAGCTCTCCCGCTCTCGGTGCTCACATTGTATACAATGATATTTTGCTCTGTTGTAATCAGCGTCACTTGCTGCCTGGTGCTGCAGTAGAGCAGGCGACTTATTTCGAAATCCGTATCCACTAACAGATCACGTATTTTCCATGATTTCGTGTCGATTTGCTGAAGCTTGCCCGAGCGGCAGGCGACCACCACTTGTGCGCCGTCCGCAATGTGCGCGACACCCTCAAGCTCAACGTATAGGGGAATAACCTTTGACTGCCTCCAGGTGCTGTTCGAGTCTGCATTCAATTGCCAAGCAATCAGCACCTTGTCGCGACTCACAGTGACCAATTGATCGCATTCAGCAGCCGTGCTCTTGAAGCTAATGCCCGTCACCTGAGAGATGTGTCCGCGCAGTTTGTGCAGCAGTGTCTTAGTGGCGTAATCCCAACAATATATCGTATTGTCAGCGCCAGCAGCATAAATTTCACTCTTCAGTGGACTCGGATGGAAGCGCAACAGCAGCGCCGGACCGGGATAATCTTTTAAGGCGCACAGACAGCTGTTGTTGGTGAAATCCCATACGCGTATCGTGGCATCTGCTCCACCACTGGTACAGATAAAATTGCCACACGTGCTAAACTCGATGCGCACAACGGGTCCCTTGTGCTGGCTCTTCCAAAGTTTTACCAACTTCTTCGTGCTCAGCTCCCAGAGACGTAACAAGCCGCTGCCATGAGCAACCGCCAAATGTTCACGTGACATTGCAAAGCAATAGATGTTGTCCTCGTCCATCTTAGCATCGTCGAGTCCATCAGAGGTTTTTGATTTCTCGCTACCGTCGGAAACATTTACTCCAAAGCTGCACACAATTTGCGATGTTTCCACATTCACTTGATTTACAACATCGCCATTCAAACAATAAATATGCTCTCCATTTTCAGCCCAGGCAATATCGTGCCCGGCATAAAAGTTTGTGTAGCGAGCATCTGCTGCATATCTACAAATAATATTTTCAATACGAATTATCCATATAATTGCTAATCTTTACTTACTGTTTATCACTCACGGTTGCCAGCATGCTTTTATTTTTGTTTACAAAATTGAAATTACTACCGCGTGCACATTGGAACTGGTACGAATATTCCAAACGAACTGGTTCGTGTAAACCGTTATCAGAGTGTGCAAACATATATCATAAATAGTAACCATTTAACTAAATATAAAATTATCAAAAAAATAACAGTCAAATTAACTTTGTATATGTATTCTAAATCGTATCGAAATTTTGAATTAAAACAAAGTCGATAAGGGACTTAAAGCTACAATTGTTTTTCGTGCATATTTTGGTGAATCTTAAGTATGTGATTTAATAAGTTATAATTTAAAGACAATCACAAGCATATTAAAGATTTTCCAACGTGTTTATTGCATTATATTTTGGAAGTTTTGATCTATAAATAATAATTTAGTTGCTGGTTCATCTTTAGAAATTAGGTATTAATCAACACTTTTGCAAAAATAGCAAAGGCTGGTCACATCGAACATGAGTTGCAGCTGTCAAATGAAAAGCCGTCAAATCATCGTCTTCTGTTTGCGAGTTTAATTCACGTAGATTCGGTTTCGCTAATACCAATACTATTTCATATTCACAACAAAAATGAGTACAATTGGCACCGGTGTAAGTATATTAATATTAATTTTACAGCAGATGTATAAATATATCATTTTGGTTTGCAGTATGATCTGTCGGCTTCGCAGTTCTCTCCTGATGGCCGCGTCTTTCAGATTGACTACGCCTCCAAAGCAGTTGAGAGGAGCGGAACCGTTATTGGCATTAGAGGAAAGGATTGTGTTGTGCTTGCAGTCGAAAAAATTGTTGCAGATCAGCTCTATGAACCTGATGCAGCCAGTCGCATTTTTACTATTGAAAAGAACATCGGCATGGCCATTGCTGGACTGATGGCTGATGGAAATTTTGTGGCCGACATTGCCCGACAAGAAGCAGCGAATTTCCGTCAACAATTTGAGCGCACCATTCCCCTGAAACATTTATGCGATCGCGTATCCGGCTACCTGCACGCCTACACTCTGTACAGCGCTGTGCGTCCGTTTGGATTATCTGTAATACTCGCATCGTGGGATGAGGTTGATGGACCTCAATTGTACAAAATTGAGCCGTCTGGTAATTCGTTTGGCTATTATGCCTGCGCCAGTGGCAAGGCCAAGCAACAGGCCAAAACAGAAATGGAAAAGTTTAAGTTCTCCGACATGACAACCGAGGAATTGGTCAAAAGTGGTGGCAAAATGTATGTTGATTCGATCAACGCTTTGCGCTTCAGTTTACTTATTTATGTATTTACTTGCAGCATCTATCAAGTGCACGACGAACTGAAGGACAAAGATTTCCGCTTTGAAATGGGCATCGTTGGTAAGGAAACGAAGGGTGTACATCTCATAAATAGCTCTGAGTGGATCCAAAAGGCTATTGAAGCTGGGGAAGCAGCCAAAAACGCAGATGATAGTGAAAATGAGATATAATTTAAATTCGAAATATGTTCAACTGATTATAAATCGGATAGACATTATTTTTTAAATGTTTTCTATATCAGAAAATACACAAAAATGCACAGTTCGTGGCTAATTTGCAGCCTGTGGACTCTTCAAATTCAACAACAAAATAAATATAATACAAAAGGGAATACACACGCTTATCTGTGGAAAAGTAGTAAATCTTAGGGGACATTTAGGAGGACTAAAAAAAATCAAATTTCAATAAACATATTTGCTGCAATGGCAAATTTAACTCGGCGCCAGGGTAAGGGTTAAATTTAACTTTTACCGGCGATAGCAATCTCTGGCCCTCTAGCGATAGTTTTTGCTTTCGAATTAATATTATAAATAGAAAGTCTGGCAACTCTAGGGCCGCGCACGTCTGACATATTCGCGCCAAAAACGGAAAACAATTGAGCAAAAGTAAACAATTTGGTTTTGCTAAAATGACGACATTGGTTGAACAGCTAATTTCGAAAATGGGTCTTGGCGAAGAGCCCAATGTATTAGAGTGAGTTCTAGCAATAATAAAGTTCCTGAATATATATTTAATGAATTTAAACCATCACTAGGAAAACAACGGAGCTACTCAGATTGCTAGAGCTTCGATCGACAAATGTTCCTCTGCAAATAAATGAATATGGAAAAATAGTATTGTGCGCGGATATTGCTTGCAGTGTGTTAGATATTGGCTTTGACAAAGAGCAGGCGCTTAAACTCTCCGCATTGCGTAAAACTCACTATGCCAATAACAAGCGAATGTTTGAGAAATTGCTTGAACTGAATAAATTGGCTAGCATCAAAGATATTTGTGTGCAGCTCAGCTTGAACGAGGTCGCACATAAGGCGGAAGATATCCTAGCTATGTTCAAAAAATTCGCACGTGACGATGCTGATCCAGATCATCCACAATATGCCGCAATGGCCGTATTCCACGCCTGTCGCCTGCTTAAGAAGAAAGTATCCAAGCCCAAATTAATGCCATTTAGTAACTTGCGACCCACACAATGGCAGCAACTTGAGCAACAATTTGAGCGCCTGATCGCAAAACATTTAAAGGATTTAAATGTGACGACGGCGGGCGTAAAAAACAAATTCACACAGCAGGAGGAGCAAAATGGTCTGAGCAAGAAGCAGAAGAGTAGCGAAAAGACTGAAATCGAAGAATATGAAAAATGGAAGAGTCGAATGCTAGCAACAGCTGAGGCTAAACTCAAAGAACTGGAAAACATCGCTTAGCAATAATAAGAGAGAATCAATTTTATTTATTAAAAAAGTATGTTAAGTTTTGCTTACTTTAAACCTATGTATTCTAGTTTCATGCTGTCCTAGCTAAGCTAAGTTATTCAAGTCAATGTTTTTTCTCCTTCTCAATGTGAGTCAGAACGTGAGAGATTAGCACATCGCCTACATCTTGTAGTTCTCCGTTTTGTTTGTGAGCTGAAAGTAATTATTGTGTATTAATTGCATTATATATTTATAAAACATGCATTCGCATACAATTATATATAATAAGTTGTACTTCGCGCCGTGTTTCCGGCCAGTTGTTAAGGAGCTCTTGCAGATGTTTACAAAACTTCAGCCAGATCTCACGTTTCATTTCCTGCATTTGCCAAGTGGCCGACAATTGGAAATGCATTGATTCGAAAAATGTTAGCATTGGCGTGGCACCCTCCATCGCAAAGTAATATGTGGTTCCATTTATTTGTTTATTGAGCCTATAGACCGCATGCTTGAAGGGGCGATTTACACCGGCCCTATTTATAAATTGTGTCTCCAGTGGCTGAGAGCGAGAATCTTTGAATTAAACAGGCATCTAAACTTGAAATTTATATTATACTTACCTCAGCCTTATCGAGCCATTCACTTTGTATAACGCGATTTACAAACATCTCATCTGGAATTAGTATAATTAGGCGCTTTATCCCGAATTTTACATTCTGCATATCCTCATATTTTTCCATTCGTTTCTGCAGGCCGTCATTCTCTCGTTCCGGTAGCGAGAGTTTCAGATAGCCATGAAAATAGCTCGAGGCCATGCCGGCTGCATAGTCCAGGCCATGCGAATCGCGTATCCAGTGAGCGTAGCTCAATGAACTATGGCTCAGTTGTACATAGGTGAAAATCCAATAAAGAGGAATAAGAAGAAGCGGTTCGCCTCTGGGCAGCAAAAGAGCTAAGTTATTAGTTCTTCCAAAGCGGGTCAATCCCGTGAATATCACAAGTAATGCTAGATATACGGTTTTGATATTGTACGTGTACGCCCGCTTTATAATTGTTGTTAGACGATCCTCAGGTAAATAATAAATACGGTGGCACAGGTATTCCTTAAATACGAAGAACAACCTCTGTAGGAGGTCAGCAACGAATATCACAATACATATTCTAACGGCGTAGTCTAAATATATATCCATGCAAGGTTGAATAAAATATGATAATATATGTATGAGGGTCGGTTATTTTGACATATTCTCACCAATATGTGACCACACCATCTTTAGCCACGCAATCTCCTTATCACTACTTTGATCCTCAGATGGAACTGCCATAACCGTGATTCAGTATCAGGGTATCAGCGATGCGAGACACTTGATACTTATGTTGCAGGTATTCCCTTAAAGATACTGATCTTTTATTTTTTATGTATATAAAAAATAATATAAAATAAATTTACTGATCTTTTATTTTTTATGTATATAAAAAATAATATAAAATAAATTTAAGTCTAAAACCACGAATATAAAGTTTGTATATTAAAATTTATTGTGTATTATCACTAACCAGAGAACTTTGGTTAGTGGTATTATTAAATTAGCAATATTATCGACTATCATATGCAGACGGATATAATCGATAGTTTCAAACTAACCAGCCATCGATATAATTTGACCAAACTCACATCCATAAATTAAGTGCAAGTGCATTTATAAAAATACAAAGACCGTTTTTGTCTAGAAGTTATTCGACTAAACCAATTAAAATTGGTATAAATTTCATTCGGTATTCTTCAAATAATTCGGCTAAATATGATTTAACTATTTTGTTTGCTGCTTTACGCGCTCACAAATGACGCATATTACCATTTAGATATTGCAGCAACAATACACTCTAATCTACATTACATGTTTACGTTGGCTCTGTGTAAGTTACCAGCAAAAAAAGAAAAAAAGATTGAAAGATTTAAGGAATGGAGAAAACTATTTACCATTAACTATTATCAATTCTTTGCTTTAACAGGAAAACATCAGAACGACAGCGAGCACAATTGTTTGTTGTTGTGCTGATAAAATTCAGTAAGCGAGAAGAATAAAGACGCGTTAGTCACCACGCCTTTTGCGGTCGCGTAAATATCTAGGGCTTGAGTGCAGCAATACTCACATAATGCCGATATTATATAGTGTTATAGCTCGCGGCACTACGGTGCTGGCAAAGTTCGCCGAATGTGTGGGAAATTTTGCAGAAGTAACTGAACAAATTATGGGTAGAATAGGTGTGCATAATCATAAAATGACCTATACACACGGCGATTATTTGATACATTATACTTGCGAAAATAAGATAATTTATATGTGCATAACTGATAATGTAAGTTGAATATTAATTAGGTGGATTGTATAGAATTATAAACTTTAATTTTTATACAGGAATTTGAACGCTCGCGCGCTTTCCTCTTCTTGGCGGACATCAAGCAGAAATTTATTCATACATATGGCCTACAGGTTGCCACTGCAATTGCCTATGCCATGAATACGGAATTCTCGAAAGTTTTATCACAGCAAATGGTCTACTTTAGTCAATCGCGAGAAGTAGATACCATATCGCGAGTTCATGGCCAAATTGATGAACTTAAAGATATTATGATTAAGAATATAGGTAATCAATTAAGAATTTTTAAACTTCTCAGTTATTTTAACAAAACTCCTATTTCCAGATAGTCTGCGCGATCGCGGTGAGAAACTGGAGCTGTTGGTCAATAAAACAGAGAACTTAAGTAATAACGTAAGTGAAGCTTTAAGTTAAATTTATAACAAAAATTAATTTCAATTATAATTTAATTCCATAGTCAGTTGCATTCCGTAAGGCTTCGCGTAACTTGGCGCGTCAAATGTTTTGGAAGAACATTCGGATCTATGTTGTCGTCGGCCTAGTAATCATATTTGTTATCTACGTAATTGTAAGCATGGCATGCGGCGGCCTCGCTTGGCAGTCGTGCATTCAATAATAATTTGGCAATGCATAAGGTAGTTGTTGCAGCAATGTTTATTATTATTACTATCATATACAAAGTTTCGTACTATCAATAATCTCTGTTATATGGAATAAAGATGTATGTATATAAAGTATATATCCTCAGTTACCAGGTCCAGTTTCACTTGTCTTCTACGTAAATAGCATCATTAACCTTAACGTTTCCTGCTTGCCGTAGACCCAAATGTATACCCAGCGCTGGAGAGGCATAGTTAAACAGTCGATAGCTGTGAATAATTAGTAAATGAATATATATACCATATATAATCATCTCTGTGTGACCTCCACCTACCTGCGCAGTGTTTTTAGCGGCTCACCATCGGCATTCCGCTCAGCCGTTTGAACATTAATATTTGGAAAGATGCACCTGGTGCAAGGTGCAACTATACGAAAAACGGCATCGTTGCCAATGCGAATCCACTGCCAGTGGTCTTCACTGTACGGCTCATCAACATCCATTTTCAGTTCAAAGTTTCCACGGAATTGCAATGGATCCACCGGAGTTTTCAATCGAGTATTTAAATCATCTATTGACGCTAAATTCATGAGCATATAGCTAGTTGCATCATTGAGTGTGCCCTAAAATGTATTTATAATTGGTAACTTTTAGGGTTTTGAACGATCTGTGGAGAGTCAATAATTATATATTCCGTAGATATCCCAGATAAAGTTTATCAATTGAAAAAAAAGCTGGAAAACTGTTCTACTATAAAGTTTGTTCCAGTCTACTTACTTACTTGGGGCGAAAATGCTGTACTTACCGAATCGGCTTGTTTTATATAAGGCATATGCCTAAGTCGTGGATTAGTGGCACGCACTGGTCCTGGATATGGATAGTATACAAGCTTTAGGCCCGAGTCCTCCTTAAGTATGAACTGTGAGAACCATTTGTCAAAACGGCTGCCGCACAGCATCACGTCTATTGCCACGCCCCAAACGGAAGTGCGTACGTCCTTAGAGGGCGACTCCAAGTGACGGAAATCCAGTTCTAAGTCGGGCATTCCAGGTGCACTGAACACCAACCCATTAGGCAGCGCCTTTGGCTGAATTTTTACCATGTGCGGATAACCTCTGGCGGTTATCATTTCATTATTATCATTGACTAACATGAATTTGCGATCCCGCACATTTCCAATGCCAACGCCAAGCACGTCACAATCGTATTCCTGTTGGGAGTCAACCTCCAATGGAGCACACGACTTGACTGGGAACACGTTCACCCGTTGCAATTTCCCGACTCGTCTCCATTTCGATGGCATCACATCGCGATGCAAGTGTCGATAAACCAGGTAGCCGGCGCCTCCTACAGCAATCAGGCTGACGCCCATACCGATCAACATTTTATTCGAAAGCCCATAGCCGTTCACTGTAGATACATATATTTACATATATTTTCTTTTGAGCAATACATATATTGTTAAACAGCTAAACTTGCATGAAAGATTTGCACTCATCTTGTCCGTCCACTTATCAACTGAAACACGCACTGTCACACTTGTTGCTTAGGTCAATAAAAAGTTCCAAAAAGCTCTGTGAAGAGCTATAGTAAATAAAAGAAACGCAATGATAATGGAGCTTTGTAGATTTCTGTGTGTGGCTCACACATACATACATATGCATGCATACACATACAAATAGAGGCCTAGTAAGAAAAGTAAACTATTTCAATTCAGGCTTTGCAATGCAACAGGTATAACAAGTTAAGTAAAGTGGAGAGCTCGACTAGAATATACCCTGGATCCATATTGCATGATCGCTTGAAATTGTTCTCCATTATTAAATACTCAACGATTTTCTGTACTTCTAAAAATATATTCTAAACTAATGTTATATTATCTACAGAAATCAAAATCGAATAGTTATATTCAAATTTATATTATAGTATAAGAGATGGAATAGGACTACAATTGCTTAGATAAAGTAGCGGATGAATGAATAGAATAAATAATATTCTTCGAAAATAAACGAATTATTTACTTTTATTATATGTATATGATTTAAATGAATTTATGCAGAATGTTTATAAAAGTAAAAGAGCTTCAATATCACTTGTCTTCTACGTAAATAACATCATTAACCTTGACGTTTCCTGGATGCCGTAGACCCATGTGCACACCCAACGCTGGAGACGAGTAGTTGAACAGTCGATAGCTGTGAATAACAAATGTTAGGTATAAAATGAATATAGTATCATATACAATCTTCTCTGTGTGATCTCCACCTACCTGCGCAGTGTTTTTAGCGGCTCACAATCGGCATTCCGCTCAGCCGTTTGAACATTAATATTTGGAAAGATGCACCTGGTGCAAGGTGCAACTATACGAAAAACGGCATCGTTGCCAATGCGAATCCACTGCCAGTGATCCTCACTGTACGGCTCATCGACATCCATTTTCAGTTCAAAGTTTCCACGGAATTGCAACGGATCCACCGGAGTCTTCAATCGAGTATTTAAATCATCTACTGAAGCTAAATTCATGAGCATATAGCTGGTTGCATCATTGAGTGTGCCCTGAAATGGATTAGTAATTTATATTGTCTATATTTACATGTATTGGCTTTATGAAATAAACATAGGTGCTAGTCCTTTATAATAGCTCCTATTATGGAGAGTGGTAAACCATTTTGGATTCCAACTTTCCAACATTGTTTAAATAGGTTGACTTGATTAGCAGAGACTCAATAATTAATAGATCACATATCTTCCATAGATAGTTCCTATGACCTAAGCTCAAATCATACTACAAGTTAAGGAATACTACTCGATCAGAAAATAATTTACTTACAGAATCTTCCTGTGTTATATAAGGCATATGTTTCAGATCTGGACAAGTCTTGCGAACTGGTCCTGCATATGGATAGTAAACTAGCTTTACGCCGAAATCCTTTTTAAGGATAAACTGTGAAAACCATTTGTCAAAGCGGCTGCCGCACAGCATCACATCTATTGCCACGCCAAAAACGGAGGTGTGTACATCTTCAGAAAGTGTTTTCAGTTGCTTGAAATCCAGTTCCAAGTCGGGCATTCCAGGTGCACTGAACACCAACCCATTAGGCAGCGCCTTTGGCTGAATTTTTACCATGTGCGAATAACCTCTGGCGGTTATCATTTCATTATTATCATTGACTAACATGAATTTGCGATCCCGCACATTTCCAATGCCAACGCCAAGCACGTCACAATCGTATTCCTGCTGGGGGTCAACCTCCAATGGAGCACACGACTTGACTGGGAACACGTTCACCCGTTGCAATTTCCCGACTCGTCTCCATTTCGATGGCATCACATCGCGATGCAAGTGTCGATAAACCAGGTAGCCGGCGCCTCCTACAGCAATCAGGCTGACGCCCATACCGATCAACAGTTTATTGGAAAGCCCATAGCCGTTCACTGTCGATTTATTATATACAAATATAAATGCATATACATACATATGTATATTTTTAATATTCTAACTTACATGATATATTTTGATTCATTTTATGTCCGTATAGTTATTAGTTGAAAGAGGCATTTGCTAAACATTTGGCTTCTCGCTAGATTGAGAAAGTTTCCAAAAGCTCTAAGAAGAGCTGGAACAACAAAAGCCAAAGATAATAGAGCTTTCTAAGTTTGTATGTTTGTACGTACATATGGTATTGTTATCATGCATATGCATGATTGAAAGTAAGAGGTGAGAGTGCCCGATAAGGAGATACCCTGATCTCAATGCAGAGCAGCTATTCTAATATACAATTTGGATTTGCTGTTGTTGTCTGTATAGTCATAAGTATTTCCTCTAAGTATTTCTTTTAAGTCTTTAGCTTAGCTTAAGGATCACACTTCACTTCGCTGCACTGCACGACTGACCACCACCAGACCTGGGTGACTGAAGAAATACTGCAGCTGCAGCCCTTTATATAGGTCGACTTTCACTCAACCACTACGACACACTCAAATGTTGAGCCCGACTCCAGGTAGGGGTCGTTGAAACTGAGCTTAAAGTGACCAATTGGAACGTTCTCTGTTAATATACAGTTTCTCTAAATATAAATAAAATACATGAATCCTGCTGCATACATATGGAGAACTTAAATGATCTTCTGCGCCCCTCGCTCTTCTTATGCAGCGCTCTTCTGTGAACAGCGAACATACGAACAATATAGACAAACAGGCACGCATAGTAAAATCGGATTACATCATTACGGTTCTTAAGAATATATATGTTTGATATGGCTAAAAGTTAATGTGATAAATAATTTATATACATATTAATATTTATAATTATCATATGGCCTATTGTATCGCATACTCGCATACTCAATGAATCTAGCCTGAAATAGGCTAAGCTGTCAACACTGGTTTGTATACAAGCCAATATGTTTATATATGTACATACATACAAACGATTATAATACTTTTTTCGTGATGGTCATTCAAATCATAATCGAATAATTGCATTCAAATTTCTATAGGAGTATAAGAGAGGGAATATCACTCTTATTTTTGTTGTTTACAGTAAGATAGTAAACATGTCCGATACAAAAACTGAAGTGGATGGTAACAATGCAGAGGAGCTGGATGTGGGCAGTGAGCGATTCAATTCCCTGCGTGCGCTATATACAGCCGACTTCAAGGTTACAGATAGGGCGCCAAAAGTCCTATATCAAAATCTTGCCGCATTTGAAAGTGCACTTGTAAAGGTTGGCGTCTGGCAGTTGAACAAACGACCCAAAAACAATGAGCAACCGAAGGCAACAAACAACAAAAATCCCTTTAACTCAACCTCGAATGTGGATGCGTTGAGTGAACGACGTTTCCAACCGCATCAAATGCCCGTGGAAGGAGTGGTGAAAGTAAAATATCACCGGAATCTGTTCACGCACATGGCCAGTGCGGAAGGCCCTTTGGCATGTCTGCAAAAGTATTTGCCCGGCGAGGAGAAGCAGGATACAACGCGTCTGCGGGTTTACCTACGAAAGGAGCACGCCATTGGTGGCCGTATCGAGGGTGACCTTGTCGCCTTCGACAAGCAGTGGAACATATTGCTAAAGAATGCTGTTGAGGTCTGGCAGCGTCGCAAATATAAATTTGGCAAGCAAGACATTTGTGGCACAGCAGCAGATGCAACAGAGGAATGCGTCGATCGACTTCGACGATTGGGAATCACATTGCCTGAAGTTCACGTGAAAAGCTTAAATCGTAAGAACGTACAGCTGCGGCGTGAACTACCCCAAGTGATGATTCGCGGAGAAAACATAGCTTTAATTACATTTATTAGCAAGTCAAAGGAGTAAAATTTCAAATCATTCATTTGCAATTTGTGTGTTGTTTAACAATAATACATTAGTTTGTGTATACCATGGGCACACATTCCTCGGCAGCGACGTGAGACGGCGAGTCGTCCTCCATGAGATGCTGCAAGCTTTCGTTGGGATAGCTGCAAGTAAAACAAGAACAATTTAATAGAGCTCATTTCATAAATAATTTTCCGTACATTTTTGATGGGCTTTCATCGCTGAGCATCGTAACCGGCACAGTGGCGGAGGCGCATTCGGGACTCATAAATTCAATGGGAGTTGGTCGACGTTCTTGCAGCTGTCGCGCTATTTCTGCTGTACTCAGATTGCCAGAGCCGTCTTTTGTGGCTATATGCTGATGCTGTTGCACAGACGGCGAGACAGTTGCCGTGGCCGTCAGCAGTTTCTTTGCTGGTGGTTGTTGAGCGTGACCGCCGGTCAGAATTTTACGTCTACGTCCTCGAGTTGCCCCGCCAACGGCAGGTGGCTGACCTGTGGGAGCAAGCACATTAACAGCAGGCTTTTCCTTGTGCTTGCGTCGCATAGCTGCAGTCTCCTTCGATTGGTCAAAGTTCGGTTGCGTCTGGGCAACCGTTGAAGTTGTTTGCTCCGTATCTGAATTGGAGCTATCAGTGACATCACTGTCACTAGAATCTTTGGCAGGCTTCTCATATATCAAGAGGCGATCGATCAAGAACGATCGGTCACGCGACACTTTTAATAAACGTCTTTGATTTGTGTGTAGCAAGTCTTGAAAATATTCGTTTTCCTGCCAATACACAAATGCGAAAATTAACTGAATATGTCTACAAACACCTATTACTACTTACATAGATGAGAAACTTTAGTTTTCGCTTTAAGTTTCTATAGCGCTCTTTATAATCTATATTTTCATTTGCTGTGCCAGTCGACGTCGAACTAGATGCTGCAGTTGCTGCTCCTGCGGCTGCTGAGGCAGCTGTCCCACGCATTGTTGATTCTTTTGTATGTGCTTCTTCATCACTTTCAAGATGCTCCTTTTCTGTCTTAGTAGATGTGGTCTTTTGATTTGCCAAAGACCGACAGTACCATCCGTCGAGCATATTAATAGTGGTTATTTTAGATTTCTTGTAAAAATCATAAAAATAATTGCAATTGCTGTAGTGAGGCTAAACGCATTCGATATTGTATTACCACAAAACATCGGAACATATCGATAGATATCTCTAAAAAGTGTTTAATTGAAAAATACAATTCTTTTTCCCGATGTATCGAGTATTTTCGATATAAATTCCGATACTCACTATCTTAAAAAGCTAGTGAGCAGCGGCACGTGTTGCATTTGTTTATATGCGAAATGAACAAGAAAATAGTTATAAATAAACGTGTGAAGGGCCAATCTCGCGAAGAGTTGGCCCAGTTAAGCAAAACAGAATTGATTGACAAAATTGTGCAGCTGGAGGCGTACAATTTTCAGCTGAAAAATCTTTTACAAAAGAAACTGTCCGAGGCGGACAAAAACAATTCTGAATATGCTGCAGTATTGCGCGGGGCTGACGGGGATGAGTTACCAAATAAAGTTGTTTCAGAAACCGTCAAAGATGTACCTAAAAACAAAGATAAACAACGTAAGTTTAACTGGGCCAGGTTAGTAAGCTCTCTATATTTAATTGTTCTTATTTATATCGATTTGATTTCAGTGCGCACCAGAGGCATGTTTTGATGAAAATAACGTATTTTGGCTGGGATTATCAAGGGTTTGCTTGTCAGGAGGACTCCGCTGATACGATTGGTAAGTTTGTTTGATTTCTATAAAAGCAACGACTAATAGGTTAAGTATTTCTTGCAGAAGGATATTTGTTTCGTGCCTTGGAACGCACCTGCCTCATCGAATCCCGTGCTACTTCCAACTACCATCGATGCGGTCGCACCGACAAGGAAGTGAGCGCCTTCTGCCAAGTGATATCAATTAATTTGCGTAGCAAGCACTCACCCGATACTCAAATGAAGCCAGAGTCGCTAAACACTGAAATAGATTATTGCAGTCTGCTAAATCGGGTGCTGCCCAAAAATATTCAATGCGTATCCTGGATGCCGTTGCGAAATCCCGACTACAGCGCTCGATTTGATTGTATTTCACGCACCTATCGCTACTATTTTCCCAAGGGCGATCTGGACATTGACTCAATGCAACAGGCCTGTCAGTTACTCGTCTGCCATGGAGACTTTAGGAATTTTTGTAAAATGGATGTGCATAATGGCGTAACGAATTACATGCGTAATTTGCAGCACGCAGAGATAAGGCCATGTGACAATACAGAACGCCAGTTAGAGCAAAACTCAGGTAAGAATATATATAATTTATATTTTACAGTTTAGTTAACTTGAACTTCTTCAACAGGCTATATTATGTATTATCTGGAGATAAAAGCAAATGCTTTCCTATGGCATCAAATACGATGCATCATGGCTGTGCTGCTGCTAGTTGGACAAAAGAACGAGCAGCCATCCATAATCACTAAATTACTCGATGTGGGTAGCAATCCTTGTAAGCCCCAGTATACGCCTGCTATTGGGCTACCACTGAATCTGTTCCATTGTGAATTTCGATCGCACAGCACGCGTCAATCGAATCTTCCAAATTTATCACAGATTGCGATTGTGGAAAGCGAAAGCGAAAGCCAAAGTGATCTAACCAATTGGGTTTACAGTGAGGAGAATCTACAGAAGCTGATCGAGAACGTGCAGAGTGAGTGGACGCAGTTCAGTGTCAAGTGCACCATGATACGCAATGTCTTAGTGCAACTGGAGGCACTCCTTGAGCAGAACTTCAAAACACCGCAGATTCAAGCACAGGCCATGCTGCTGCAGGATGCGGCCAAGCCGCGCCAGTATCAACCATTGCTGCAGCGCAAACGATGTGGTTAGTATTTGTTTGTTTAATAATATATCTGATGATCTACATTTACCCAATCTGTTTTTTAGAGAGCTTGGAAAATCGCATTGACCATTTTGTGAAAAAGCAACGACTGCTTGTAAAAAGCGACACAACGACGGAGACGAGTAAAAGTGAAACTGCTGAATATTAATGAATTTACTACAGCTTGATGTGATTTCGTTGTGGTGCTCAGATTTGCTGGGTAAGCAAATAATTTAAATAAAAATATCACAAATGTACAATAGGTACGCATTTTATTGTAGGCATTTTTATTTTCGAAAAATTGTACAACATTTTGGATGCTTAGCTTAGATTATGTATATAATTTAAAATGATTAATTCCATTAAATTACTTCAAGTATAGCTTGCAATTAAATTAGGTTTGAATGTGTGTTGTTTCATACAAATCGCTTTGTATAGGTATTTGTATATAAATCTAGTGACATACATATATTATCTATGTATGTAGGTAAAGGTACATATATGAAGGCAGGGTAACTAATATTACATTTAATTGGTCTATATACATTCATGGATGGGTTAAACAAATGATGTCCAGCTGCTCAGGTATTAACAAATGATAACACATACAGTCGATATGAAGATTGGATTTATGAATGTATAAGTATATATACTCGTATATATATATATTTATATTCTTCTTTTATGTGCCCATGGACTTTGCTTTTTGTAGTCTGCAATGAAAGAGATGTTAATATGTGTATTCAATTTCTCTTTTCTCTCATTCTCTGCCCCCGCTCGCACTTACTTTCTTCTCAAGATCTTGAGCACAATTGTGCCCTCACGCACATTTTTGAATAGTCCAATTGTCTCAGCATGACTCATGCCCTGCACAGAGAGTCCATTGATTTCCACAATCTCATCGCCTGTAATGGAAACTGTTTGAGCATCGGAGAACAAATTGAAATACTTCTTCCGCCACTCACCCGCTTGCAGAGTGCCATCATCGGCAGCTTGGCCGGAGGGAAAGACAGTTTTGACGAATATTCCCATATTGCCTTTGGGTGAGTCTCGTCCGCCCACAATGCTGAAGCCCAAAGATTTTAGGCCAGGTCCTTTGAAGAACGTAATTGTCTTTTGGGTGCAGCGTCCGTTGCCTGAACAACAAATAAATTAGAACAATTGCTTAGTAAGTCGAATGCTTCGATAATTGTTTATTGTGTTATTCGTGTTAAGCTCACCCTCACACATTGAGGCGCGAATGACTTCTGCCATTTCCTCATCGCGTATCGTTAGCTTCGCCACTGGCAGCGATGGACGATGATGCATTAGCGAAGCAGCTGGTGGAGCCAAGGTGCTGTTTACAGCTGCTGTTGCTGCTGCTGTTGATGATGATGAGGATGAGGGTGGTATAAATGGATTAGGCGCAAACAGTGAAACGTTTTTTGGCGAGTGCTTGATATATAATGAATGGTGTTGTTGCTGTTGTTGTTGGGGTTGTTGTGGTTGTTGTGGTTGTTGTGGCTGTTGTTGCGTATTATTAGTGAGATCAGTTGTTGTTGTAGTTGTTGGACTGTCAGTGGTTGTAGCTCCTGCTGCTGTTGATGGCGTCTGCATGAATAAGCTGAGACGCGATGAGCTGAGACGCGAATGCGCAAATCTCAGCGAGCGATAATGTGAATTGGTTAAATTAATGGAATTGCGAGCATAGTGCGTACGCTGACCAAACTGCTGGCTGGAGCCTGAGCCTGAGCCCACGCCGGCGCCTGGGTCGGTGGACAGTGCAGCACCTTCGGAGCAGCGCTTGCGTGCCAGCAGCCGCCATTTCTCATCATCCGCCAGCGAGGAAGCCACACAGACGCTGGCTGCGCGATTCGTATACACTGGTGTGTACGAGTCGTTGTTATTGGTGTTAAGATTGGTTGTTGATATGGAGGAGGTGTCATTGGTTGGTTGTTGGTTAAATAGCGGTGTTGGTGTTAGAGCCAAGCTACGCTGACCTGAGGAGCTGCGCGCTCTACGTCGCAACAGCTCGTACTCCGACGCACTCACATCCAGCGAGTGTCGGGGCGTTGAGCTGCGTCGATGCTGCATCAATGGCATGGGCGTGGGTAGCGTACTGACGCTGGCTAGCGAACGTGCATCGCACTGATCTTCATCGAGTTCGGTTTCCTCCTGTGACCGCACCCGCTCCTGCTCCTGATCCACATTCAGCTGCAGGCTCTGCAGGCTGCTCAGGCTGTCTGTCCGCTGGGCATAGCTGAGCCGCTGACGCTGCGCACTCATGCCATCAATGCGTATTTTGGTATAGAAATCAGTTACAGTGGCTATCTCATCGTGTGCTATGACCAGATCAATGCAATTCTCCACAAAGCAGCTGAGCAGGCGCTGCACCTCGCCAAACGATTGGATTCCACGCAAATGCTTGCCATTCACATTGACAATCTCGTCGCCAAGGCGCAGGCGTCCGTCCCTATGGGAGGAAAGAGATGGGCACGTTAAACTCTTGATTCTTTTTTGGGATTAATTAGTTTGTTTTCAAATACGTTGCGTAGCACACAAATCTAGTATATATGTACGTATATTTGAATTTAAATTAGTATTAATGGGGCGTATGGATAATATTTTAGCCCGCTTAATAGACAGCACTGGCTCTGCTTCATTTTTGATTTCCTCATATTTTATCGGCTATTTAATCGATACTTACTTTTGCGCCATGCCGTATGGTTCCAGCTCAACAATCAAATATCGATATTGCTGTTCATTGTTGTTGGTGACAACCATTTTTGGCGACAGGACAAGCCCAATGTAATCCTCTTGGCATTTTCGCTCCAACTTCAGTTGTCGGAAACGGCGTCGGATTGTCTCCGTTTCATAGTCGTAGTTATAGCCGCCCAAGGAGACGGGTGCACTACAAATGCTGTTGCGCACAGAGGAGCCTGAGCCCAGGCCCATGCCCATGCCGACGCCCTCCGAGGAGCTGAGCGAGATAAGCGAATTGCGCTTAAGTGTACCCGAGGCAATAGATTCTGTATCTCCGGCCGAGATGCTAAGATTATTGCACAGACGAGCACCAGCGAGGCCGCCGCCACCATCGCTATCATAGCCCGACTCATTTGAACTTAGACAACTACTTAATCTTTGGTAAAGTGGTTCCCAGTCCTTGGACGTGATGCTGTCATTGCGCGACACGTTCGCCATCTGCTGGTCCGGCGAGTGACGCTGCGGCAACGGCGATCCACCATGAGCCGCAACTGCATCCCGTTGATATTGTTGATGTTGTTGTTGCTGCTGTTGCTGTTGCTGCTGTTGTTGCTGCTGCTGCTGCTGTTGTTGTTGCTGATGCTTCAACAGCACAGAGCCACCATTCTCCTCGGGCAGCACCGAAAGTCGTGAGCGCAAAAATGCATAGGGAAAGGCATTCCGACGGCTGGCATCCTGCTGACTGCTGCTGTTGCTGCCGTTGTTGCTGCTGTTAGCTCCATTGCTTGCCAGCCCACCTCCGCCTACGCCCACAATGTCGCTGCCATTGCTACTGCTGCTATTGCTGGTGATAAGGCAGCTGCTCACCTTGGCAATATCGTCGCAACTGCTCGACTTGAGATTGGAAATGCGTGGCGCGCGCTGTTGCTGCTGCTGCAGTAAGTGTTGTCGCTGCTGCTGTTGGCTTTGCAGATTTAAGCCTTCGGTGGGATCATCGCATTTGATGTAGGAGCAGCTGGACAATTGGCTGGTGGAGCTGCTGCGATAGAGCGTTTGGCTAGTTGGTGTTGATTGCTGCGATGCTTCGGAAGCTTTCAGCAGATTGTGCGAACGATGATTCAGCATGCCTGTGGATCCAATGCGATGAAAGAAATTCTTCAATGCCTTCTGTGGGCGTGTCACTGGTCCATGTTGATACTGATGCATCGGCGTTGATTGTGCGCTCTGGCTCTGGCCCTTGTTGCTCGAGTCCTGGAAATGTTGCTGCTGTTGCTGCTGATGTTGCTGTTGTTGCTGTTGATGCTGATGACGCTGCTTGATCGTTTCAATTGGTCCCGACTTGCACTTTTTAAGCGTACTGCTTTGATAAGCTCCAGTAGGCGTTGCTGATGTCTTCGCATTGCTAGACTTGTGCGTTGGCGAGTGAAACAAGCTGCGCAGATCTGTGTGCGATTTGTGGGCGGCGGCGGGGGATTCACTGCGCTTCAGCAAATCCAGTTTGCGGCTCATGCGCTTGCCCCAGGTGAACACTGTAAAGGGAAAAGGCATAGGAGAAGAACTCAATCAGAAAGTGATTTCTAAATTAATTACAATGCTTCAATAAATCTTAACACCTCTGGGGCATTTGCCGCCGCTGACAGCCGCCAGAGTCACACAAATCACAAATCTGCATACATCTTAAGAAAGAGGGAGAGATAGAGTAAGAGAGAGAGAGAGGGGGAGAGAGAGAAACAAGCGTGGACCTTGTCTGTTCCTTAAGCCTGCTTTTCCTTTGTGGTTGATAGCCTGTCACGTGCTTGTGAAAGGCATCAGCTTACACACACACATGTGTGCGCAGCCGAGCAAACCACAACAAAGGTCGGCTTGGGGAACGTGTTGATTGTGGCAGCTTGCAGTAACCGCAATTTCAATGATAGACTGCACATGCAAATTGTAGCGGTAACCATAAAGCTTTCTCCTTTTGCTGCATTTTCTGTGCTATTTATTTAAAATAAAAATGAAAATATTCAAGTAGAAATGAAAGCATTTAAGTTACTCGTTTCACGTTTAAATGTGTCACATGCGCGCGATTCAAAAGCTCAACTATCGCTAAAATATATCGATATATTGTATGGGCAATATGTTATGTTTTAGTATTTTTTATCTATTGCCTTTTTTTCGGATACTACGCCTACAGTCACACTGCATACGTAAACAACAATTGATTTTTCGCAAGCTAAAAACATGTCTGTGGCTGCGAAAAAAATTGCCGAGGCTGAGCAATTAGTGCAAGCAGCTGAAAAAAGTTTAAAAACATCGCTACTAAAATGGGTACCTGACTATGACAGCGCTGCCGATGAGTACGCAAAAGCGGCAACTGCGTATCGCATTGCGAAATCGTTCGACAAAAGCAAGGAGTGTTTGTTGAAGGCTATTGAGTGCTACAAAAATAACAAATCCTGGTTCCACGCTGCAAAATCATACGAGCAGATAATATTGATTTGCAAAGATCTGGACAAACTGACAGATGTTGAGGAATATGCCAACAAGGCGTGTAGCTTGTATCAACAACATGGTTCACCAGAAGCTGCCGCCTCCGCCTTGGACAAAGCGGCCAAGTTGACAGAGCAAAAGTATCCAGAGATGGCTTTGCGTTTCTATCAGCATGCAGTGGAGGTCATTATGATTGAGGACTCAACACGGCAGGCATCCGAATACTCTTCGAAAGTGTCAAGAATCTTGGTGAAGCTGCAGCGATACGAAGAGGCGACAAAGGCGCTTAAGAAAGAAATCGGATTCTATCAGCAAACTGAATCATATGGGCAGATTGGCCGTTTGGTTGTGGCACTTGTCTTAGTGCAATTGGCATTGGGAGACTCCGTGGAGGCCGAAAAATCCTTCAAGGAATGGGGCACTTGCTGTGAGGCTGAAGAAGTCTCCACGCTGCAGACTCTGCTGCAAGCCTTCGACGAGGAGGACGGCGAGCTGGCAGCTAAAATGTTGGCATCGCCATTCATCCGACACATGGACGTGGAATATGCCATTCTAGCCAAGAACATTCCATTGCCCAAGGGTCTCGAAGTGGAGAAGAAATCTGGTGGCGATAATGAAGCGAACAGTACCAGAGAGCTTGAAGAGGAGGATGGCGATGGGTTGTGTTGAACGCTCGTCCATAATTGTTATTTAACTGCTAACCAACAAATTATTCAATTAATGCAATTTACAAATTAATCGTTATCATAATATATTGCCTAATAAAATAATATTTAAAGTTTTCTTGCTCATATTCAATGGATACTATTTATATTGATTCTATATTCTTTTGCAATTATACAATATAAAGCTACTCAAACTGCTTGTGGACTCTTATATTTGTATAAGACGATAAGTCATGCTTGTCATTAGGGTTTGTGTCTTCGATGAATAGGCAATTAATTGGTATAAGAGTTCAGGTTGTATATACAAAGCATATATAATTGTGTATAAGACATTGTGCTTACTTATACATTCAGAAGTTTTTTTATTCGCAGGAGCAAGCGTGACATAAGAGTTTATATATAGATAAAGTATAAGACATCGAATGCATAAGATATCGATGGCCTATCTTGGTATAAATGCTTGTACATAAAGGAAGAGGCCAGAGCGAATTTAGTTGTTTTTGTTTATTTATGCATACATATATATATAGAATATATTATGGTCATATAGTATTATAAAATCATTTTTGGTAACATCAACTGATAATTAAGCTGAGTTTCTTTTTTGGCAATCAACATACATAGCTTGATCAAATTTGGAATTTAGCAGCTTGTGTAAAAGTTGTATATAAAATATGTTTTTAAAGCTTTGCAGAAAGCTTGTTTGCGTATATAGGAGAGGAATATATTAAACTAAGAGTTTATTAAATTTATAATATTTTGTCTTTTATCTGGAGCTTTAATAAAGCTAATAAATGTCATTTTCTACTGTTTATCTATGACAGTTCTCAATCATTCGATTTTTCGTGCTTTACATGCAACTCAATCAAAATCCTTTAGGATATGTAAAATGGTCGTAACTTTTAACGATCTGGCTTAAAAACGATAGCCAAACACTTAAAAAACCATTAATGGGTGGAGTTTCTAGTTGTATTGCAAGATTCGTTTATAAGCAAATTTATGCATTTGTCCCATATTTCTATAACAAATGCAGTGAAAAAGAGAGCTGGAGAGAGTGAGAGAGAAAGAAAGAATGAGAGACAGATAGGTATATGAAGTTACGCCAACAATTAGTATAAAAGTTGATCATGAGAAACAGCTGAAGCAAATCTCTTGTTCCGCGTCGAGCATCGCTAACATCTTATGGACTCAATAAAATTTTGAAAACTATTTTCATCTATGACATTAAGTGCGCTTTGTGCCCATCGAAGGAGCGTTCATGGCTCGGACTCTGCATCGGCATCGGCATCGGCATCGACATTGGCATTGGCATCGGCAATGGCATCTGCATCAGCCTCTTCCTCTTCCTCCGACTCTGACTCGTGCCAAAGATGTTTAATAGCCTCAGCCCAGCTGCGGGCCAAATGTGTGGGCGCGCACAGCCTCGATTCGGGTTGACAGTTGAAACAACTGCAGCCTATCTGTGTATAGTCAGTAACAGCTCCACCCAGGCCTGACCGACTTTGTTCCGCAATTCTGTTCTCTTCTGTCGGCCGACGCTCGACGCTCGACGCTCGACGGCCGACGGCCGACGGCTCTGTCCATTTGCATTTGATTAAAATTTCAACACGCGAAGCCGTTTGCCAATCAGAGTTGCTGGCGAATCGAGGAGGATGGGTGTTAAACAATAATAGCAAATGGTCCGGGCATCAATTATATGACAGCCTCTGCCACGCGGCACACACTCAGCTCAACTCATCGCTGTATCAAAAACGACCGCCGGCCACATGCCACAAATTCTACACCCACTTATCTTTTAAGACGGTGTCAAGTGCCCGCCAGCTCTAAGCCGGCTTTGTTGCAACTCTCTGTAGCCTAGCATCAAGAGTTGGGGAAATGGGGAATGGGAATGAGGAAAGAGACAAGTTGGAGTGCATTCGTCTGTGGTGCACGACTAGTAGATACCCTGAGATACTCCGCTAACTGACGGATGGGCGGAGAGGTTCTGGATGGAGTGGAATATATATACTATTACAATATTATAGATATGCACACAAAAATTATGCCATTTTTATATATTTTAAATGGCTGTAAAATATAAAAGAATGGGTAAATAGAGAGCATGAGCCAATGGCAGCTTCTTCAATTGTGAATGCCAATTCTCTCTAAGACTTATACGTATCATGAATTTTTACTTTTTCTTATTTACCAGCATTTTTTATACCTGCTCACCTCAACAATTGTAAGGATGCGACCGGAACGATAGCAAAAATAACAATGGCTCGATAGACAAACGAAGAGTTCGATAACTCCTATCGCTTAGTGCTGGCATACACTTAATTACGAACAAAGCTCAGCTCTAGCTGCCGTTGTCACAATGCATTCATGTTGTTGGCCATTTGCCATGCCACTTGCCATTGGATTGCGTGTCAGAGGCAATTTAGCTGTAAGTTCATTATGCCGCAGCCTCCGCTTTGCCAGCTGCTGTGCGTCATTCTAATGCCAATCTTAATTGATTCTAATTAGTGGCGCCCCAAGGTCAGAGACGCCACATCAATAGCTGTAAATGGCTTTCTGTAGGGCTTAAATTGTGGCCATAATTGGCCCGATCTCAGATTTCCAAAGCAACCACAGCAACGGCAGCATGAGAAATCAATAAGCGCCATAGCTCAAGATCGCTTCTCGCCCAGCTGTCGACAACAATCGGCAAAAAAAAACCAAGAAGAAAAAAAAAACACCTAAATGCTATAATTTCGAATCCGCGCTGAATTCCATCTTCATCTTCATCTTCATCTCCAACGAAACTATTCCATCTGAATTGCACGCATGCGCATTTATACTGGATTATCGCTTATTACATGTTTCTACCTCGACTTGATTTATTTCGCTGCCCGATTATCGATCTCTCAGCTCCAGTCGAAGGCATTCGTTTCGCATTCCCCTCTCTACTTGCCCCCTTCTCCTTCTCCATCTCCTTGCCCCTTCCACCTTTCAAATTCAGCGCCTTCTCCGTTATGCGACGATCTAGATCGAAGAATTGAAGCGCGTACGTGAGATATTATTGTATGCCGCGTGCATTTTGGTTGCCGTTTTTGCCTCATTTTGAATATTTGTTATTGCCTCGCTTCACTCTTGCTCTTGTCTTCATCCCAAGCCCGGCTCGTTCTGGCTCTGAGTCGGCTTTCGATTCGGCCCGACGACTCAACCACATTATGCAAATGCTTCTGATCGTATATTTCCCATGACATGGTTATTAAACTTGTTGGCCAGTGTAATTTTGTTCAGTAGCCTGAATCTAACAGCTGCACTTTTCACGAAGCGCATTTGTTTTACTCACAGTTAATGGGAAGAGAAGCCTAACTGAAGTCCATATCTATATCTGTTCTAGTATTTACTGAATTTAAAGAACTCTATATTGCGTATTTCTCCTTTATACTAGTGCCTTACAATCTCTAACATAAATGTCTCTTATTTCTCTAATTCTTTCGCAGCTTGTTCCCGTATGGCTGCAAATCCAATCAGTTATATCATCCACTCTTCATGGCAAACAAACCGCAACGTTTCAGTGCATGTCACATACGGAGTCTTGCATTGCGAATCATCAGTCAAATGGATCACATAATGCCACGCTTTGTCACACTTGGTCGCTTATGGGATTTAGGGCCCCTAACCGAAACCACAGTCCAGACCATAAAAGTACCAACCCAGACCTACCCAGAGGCAGCCCCCGTGCGCTTTGGATCGCATTACGTACAGTGGAGCCTGGGCCTGGCTACAGAGTGTAAAAAGTATACGAAAGACTGGGTTCGAAGTGAGTGCTTAAAGTTTGCTGTCTGAGTTATGTTTGTGCCACGCTTTTTGGACGAATTGTCCACTGTGCGGACCGAAAACGGGTCAATACGGTATTTCAGGGCGTGCTTTATTTCTTTATACATAAACACACACCATGCCCACTTTCGAGTATCGATGACAATCGCGAGTGCTTGATGATGCGTTGACACATGCGGAAATCTTTTCATTCAGCGAACCAAATAACTCGAACTGAATCGAATTGATTTTATATATTGTATGTTGAATGCCCATTGAACTGGCTGCAAATAACTGAACTAGTTCCGCGAAGTCTTTGTTATTTTTAAAGGAATTGTCTGATTGGCTGCAATCTGCTCTTATACTTACGCATACATGTACATCTGCATGCTAATAATTACGTAAGTTAGAGCGAGATGACCTAATTAGCATACGTGAATGTGGGGTGGGTTTTGTAAGCTGTAAAGAGTTGCTGTATTGTCTACGTAGATATGTGTGCGTATTTATATGTGTATGTGCGCGTGTGTGCTTCTATTTTGCCTTGCTTTCTTTTTTTTTTGCTATCTTTAGTTGACAATTTCCGTATAATTCAAATATAATTGATTTATATTGATATACGACTGTTAAGATATCAGCTGTTTTCACACGCTTTTTTGTTGGAGCACCAATTAAATAGCAATAAAAAGTTAGCCACTTACTATCGCAATCTAATTTATACACATAAGTCTCTAATAGAGTGTGAAAGAGAGCGAGCGGGAAGGGGAAGAGACTCTGTTATTTATTAGAGATGGGACACGGTAAGCTGTCGACATGCGTCCATATAAAAGGCATCATAAATATAGATAAAGATGCCATTCCACTAGGGTGGCAGCATTTAAAAATCAATTTCAGCGCATTTAAGGCTTTGGGGCTTGTCGTCTATTTCGGTCGCTTGTTTGCTTTTAGTCTTGGGTTCGGGTAGGGGTCGAGTGGGGGGAGTTACTCACCATTTCGCGTGGTGCTGGCCAAGGAGGTGGCGCTGCCTGTGCTTATGCTGCTGCCAGCGTCGCTATTTGTGTCCGCAGCTGTCGCTACCAATTTCTGCTCATCATCCAGGACAACGACTGGCACGGCCGTCACCAGCTTGTAGTCGGGCATATGTCCTTGAAAAATAAAAAGTAAAAACATTATTAAGCATTCAAACATATACACATACATATCTGTTGGTTTTTAAGAAAAGTGCATTCCCCCGTTAATCGAATAAGGAAGTTAATCATATACTGATATCAGCGGAAAGTATGAATAAAAAATAAAAAGATAAGCAATATTACCGAAGTAATATATAAATTTAAAGCAAAACGAGAGTGTCTAACAGTTTGCCGGAGATGGCTGGGCGATCCGGTCTGAAAATCTGGCTGCTCTACTGGTCCATATTCTGGACACAAAGGCAGCACAGTTTGGGCTATAATTTGCCCGAAATGCTGAAGCAGCCGCTAAAAGTTTTGAATGACCAATTCGATGACAGATGTCGGCACCTCAGCGAGGAGGAGCAGCAACGTTTTGCCGGGAATTTCAACTTCTTGGAGAAATCGCAACTGGAGCTGGAGGAACTGCAGCAGCTGCTGAGCAACAATAGCGGCATTCATAGCCCATTGAAGCGTCGCCTATGGCTCAGTCTCTATTGGCAGCTGCGACGCAGCCATCGCTTGGACAACGACAACATGTTGCTGCTGGATTTCGCGTTGAACTTGCGTCGACTGCAAACGGACCCGGAGTGGAATAGCAGCCAATTGCAGAATATGTTGCAGAGCTTGCCAAAAGCGTTGCAGATCCTGGTGCGTAGTCGTTGGCTCTGCTTGGAGCACGACAGGGATCTGATGTATTTAATGACAGCTGGGGCACTGCAGCTGGGCGCCAATAGCCGTTGCTGCATGTGGCAGCTGGCGTTGGGGACGGAGCCATCGTCACATGGATGGCTGCGCCTGGAGAATCTATGCGACGCCCAAGACGTTTGGTACTTCAATATGTTGCAGCAGTTGGAGTCCGGAGTCTACCTAATGCAGCGTGAGCCCAACAGCAATTCCAGCAACTATTGCAGTCGCCTGGGATCGGGCTATTATAAAGAAGTTGCTGGGGCTGAAGCAAAGGATGTGGAAAAGGATTGCCATTGGCAGCTCAACGATTGCAGCGGACTGCCAAGCCTTCTGCAGAGGTTTTATGGGGTGTAGCTAGGATTGTGTCAACTCTTAGTCAGATATCATCTGTGAAATGACACTTCTAATATAGCATGGCATATATAAAAATGTAGGTCTTCGTTTCTGTTTCACTTACCATTGGCGGTCAGAGAGATGTTGATGCTGTTGCTATTCGAATTGCAGCCAGATGAACCATTTAGGTTCGACTTGTCATATAGGCAGCCGTTGGAGGCTGCAGGATGCAGACGCTGTGCCACATATTGCTGATAGTGTTGCTGCTGTTGTTGGTGCTGCTGCTGCTGCTGCTGTTGCTGTTGTTGCTGCTGTTGCTGGATGCTGTTAATGTTGCTGTTGCTTGAGTAGCTGAGCAGAAAGTTAGCAGCGCTGGCATTGTTGCTCAATTTATTGGGCACAAAAATTGTTGGTTGCTGGTGTTGCTGGTGTTGCTGTTGCTGCTGTTGCTGTTGCTGTTGCTGCTGCTGCTGTCTGTGCAGTGTATTCGACTCCTGCAAGGAGAGCATTGATAGTCCGGATGGCGTCTGGCGTCCACTTAACAAACATGTGGGCGTGGCCGTGCGTAGAGGCTGCACATTATTGCTGCCATTTGTAGTTGCTGTTGCTGTTGCGGCAGCAACTGTTGTTGCCGCTGCTGCTGTCACTGTCGCCGTGGCAGCAGCGCCATTGCTTGTTAGCGTTGTGCAACTGAGTATCATGACGGGCGACTTATCGTGCAGATCAGGCAACGATGAGGATATCGCTGTGCTGCTGGCAATGCTCTTGCTGAATCTGTTGCTGCATATTGTTGCCCGATTGCTGTTGCTGTTGCTGCTGTTATATTGCTTGCTGCTGCTGGTGTTGCTCGTCTGCTGTTGCTGTTGGTGTTGTTGAGCGGCGCTTAAAGTGCTGTAAGTGTCCGTTGATTTGCGCGCTTTAAAGAGCCGCATACTACGAATTGTTGCTCTCTGCTGATGTTGTTGTTGCTGTTGCTGCTGCTGCTGCTGCTGTCGATGTTGCTGGTGTCACAGTTTGCTGTAATTATAGGAGTGCCGCATTAGTTAGTTGGCAATCGAGTCCAGATAAATTAGTTAAGGCCTAAAAACCCAATTTCGAATATTTCCATTTCCATTTTACACTTCAGTTTTTCACTTTTCGCCCAGCGGAGCGTATAATTAACATAATTTACAAATCTGCGAGCCGTCGAAATTTTCTGCGCTGAATTTTGTAGGTTGTTGAAGCTTGCATTCAAAATATTTTAGCTGCTCTTTAGCTTTGTTAACTATTTTCCATTTGGGTTAAAGTATTTAATGGGCCAGTTTTAATGAAATACAGCTAATGCAAGATTATCAATGTCAGTCGATTGCACTCCATTGAGTAATTGATAACTCGGCATGATTAATTGGGAAATTACAAACAAACTAAACAAAAGCTAAATTTAACAAGTTATATATTTATTGAATTGTGCTTTGAGCCCATGACAAATTGAAGTTCAGAGTAATTAAGGGGCAGAAAGAGGCGTGATCGATGTCATATTGTCGATGCGGCTCTGTCTGTCTGCCGGTTTGTCAGTTTCTTCGTCTTTCTGCATAAGTATAAGTACAAGTATAAGAGTTTTACAGCTTATGCACGTTACTGTATTGCACTTGCAGCTCTGGTTTAATATGCAAAATAATCGATAGTTGTTTCAAGTTCTATGAAGGCGTTTAATATCGATAGGAAACTTTAAATATTTAAAACCAGAGTGAACTATTGGTATATAGATATTTCATAATTTTATCTTCCATAAATCAAAGCATAAACAGCTGATCACTTGAAATGAATACGTTATATACACTTGACACTAGAGCACACACACCCACACACTAGAGCAAATGTGAATTACAATTTATCTTCGAGCTCTAATATACCTGTTCCATGTGATTTTTCAAGTTGTACTAACCAAAAATTGCCGCTGTCAGAGTTTAATATACCCAAAGACTCGGATACTATACATATGTACATTATGTCAGCCGTCAAAAATCTATTAAAAGAAAAACCAATAAAAACCCTACAAAAATAACATTCAAGCAAACTGTTTGCTATATTTACATATGTAAATATGTATATACATATATTACTGATTGCAGCTGTGCTGCAGATTGCACGAGACGCTCTTATCACTTATTGTGAGTAATCCAGGAACAGTGAAAAATGATAAAAGGTGAATTCAACAGTTCAATTGTCGGCGGTTATCAGACCATATTATTAATAAACACATGTCAGCACACATTATTTTCATTTGTTGATATGTTTCGTATTTCAAACGCTTTCATAACATTTATGTTTTTGTTGGCGTGCAGCAAATATTTGCACTTCACTTCAGCTGCTCGGCACTCGCGGGCCAAGGAAAGGCGTTTGAATGAAGGTCGTCTAACGGCTGCCATTGCGACATGTGGGTGGACGGGCAATGAACCAGGCATATGCGAGTTAACTGGAGTTAACAGTAGTGGGTAATATGAGCATTAACAGATGTCAACACGCACACTTAACATTGTATGTTATGTGGGGCTATTGTTTATTTATCGATAATTTACACAACTGCCTTTTACTTTTGAATGTGGGCAAACGTACTTGAAAGTAGTGAATGCTAATTTGAGACTTAATGCTAACCAAACGACCAATCAAGCGAGCCACTCGCTTGCAAGTCGAGTCAGCCTAGGCAGATGGTCAAGTCAAAGTGGGCGAGGCGCGTTTGCTGCGCACCTAATTGATGTGGCAGTTGCGTGTGCATCTATGAATGCATTTACTTAGATACGATTATGTTGCACTCTGGACGTTATCTTACTTTTGGCGCGCAAAAATGCAATGAACTAAGAACATTAATATTAAGAACATTATTTAACACAATCATTTTTCGCAAAACAACATCAACTCTTATCTTAAAAAACATGCCTTTTTTGCACAGTGGCAAAATGAGTAAGGCATTGATAAGATTGGCGATAGGCATTAACAGTCGCTGGTTATCGATGTCTAATTCGTAATCGTGATTCTTTTTTGACAGTTGCACTCGTTGCTTGTCAGTTAAATATTCAATTGTGGCTAAAAAAGAAAAAAATAAAATTTCACTGTGGTTATTATATCGCTTAGCCCACTGTGCAAAACCACTTAGTCAAATCGAATGACGTCCCATGGCGCTTTGACCCGCCTACCGTCTGCCGTCTGCCTTGGCCTGAGCCTGGGTCCGAGCTACTGTGTGGCAATAATTTTGCTAATTTTATCAGAGGCTCTGTGCCTGGCCGAGCCTGCTTGATTTTTATGGAAGCTTTTAAGCGTTGTCCAGGCAGACCTGGGTCTATCTCATTGCAGAGTCCAGACAATATGTGCAGCTAATGTGAATTTAAATTGCCTCTGAGAATCAGTGCCATATATTTTCGCCAACTTTTAATTAATAGAGTAATAGTATAAAGTTTTATATTATTTTCAGATGCGACCTGCTTAGAACCACTTTCGAAGACACCGTCACAGTCACAGTCACAGTCATAGCCTCCGTCCGTTGCCCGCTGCCCGTCTTGTTTATGGGCGAAACCTGTTTCAAGGACGCGGCGTTGGCGCAGTTCCAAGAACTCGCGGCTCATTACCGTACCGCACGACGGGCGGGGCAAGTGACTGGAGCAACAACAACAACAAAAACGTGACTCTGATTCTGCGACTGCTAAACTATTTCTTTAAGCTGCATCTGAGTCGCATAGGACTTATAATGATGCCCGTGACTCTATCTCGCTCTGGTTTTTATGCTGCGACTTTTCATCTGTTACACTTATATATACATATATATATATTTTTTTAATTTGTCTGCTCGAAAATACAATGAAAAGAGCGCATTTCCTAATACCCTATGCTCCACTAAAAATGGGTAATTAGGGAATAAAGCTTAAGTCTGTCCGTTTGCTCGATATTTTGGTAGCAGCTAGTCGAACATTCCAGACCAAGGAACTCTTACTTTCCAGAGACAAATAGTTTTGCATGCGGACTTCGATTATTTCCCCAACTAGGGTATTTGTTAGTCTGGCCACTTTTATTTATTTATATATATATTTATATATATAGTTTTACGTTTATTAAATTTACTAACTGCTTCTTTCTGTACATATCTCTCTCAAATCGCGTCTCGTGGCTTTTGCTCCTGGCAACAAATCAGAGCCGGCTGCATAGTTGTAAAATTCCTGTAAACAAGCCGTGGCTGCCGCTGCAGCTGTGGCATGTAGTATAAGTTGTGCCCCGATACCCATGCCACTAAGCACTCTGCTCCACACTCACACACACGCACACGCACACACATACACTCAAATATCAGACAGACAACAATTGCTGCATTGGATTTGTTCCATGGGTAGTCATTAAAGTTAACGACTGGAAAGTCCACAAATAACAGTAGAGACTGAGACAGATAGAGAAAGAGAGAGATAGAGAGAGAGAGAGAGATAGAGAGAGAGAGAGAGAGAGAGAGACTGAAAGAATTATTTATCTAAGGCATTGTAAAATTCTTTAAAGAGATTCTACGAGAATTGAATACAAAAAAGAAAAACAAAAATATCATAAACGAAAAATAGATTTAATAAATTGTCTAAAATGTTCTATACTCTAAAATTTATTTCACTTTATATGAATTTCTTGCAGGCGGATATTTCCAACGATTAGATTAGCTAGTCTCTAATCTATATAACACCCTATATCATACAATTGTACTCTATTTGATTCTTGTATTATTTTCAAGGCAAGTTCAGATCTATTAAAGAGATTTATGATTTCAAAAAGTAAATGCATTTCGAGTTAAAGCCCAGTTTCACAGTTCATAATATTCTTAGATTTTATGACCGTGCTCCATAACGGTTTATGAACTATTTCCCTTTTTATTTTGTAATCCATATAAGCCATAAACTTTTCGTTCCACCAACGAGACTACCATGCAACACAGCAACAACAGCAACAACAACAACAGCCACATTAAAAGGCATCCAGCCGAGTTTGCCTTTTGTTGCCACAAACTTTTTGAGTTATTTTTTTTCTGCCTCCTTTTCTCTTCTTTAGGTATGCGCCTATGCGCCTACATCTACCTAAGAGTATGTGTGTGTGTGTGTGTGTGTGTATGTGTGTACTTCTGGCAAGTCCGCATTCTTTTAAAGGTTGCCAAGTTGGCCATAAGCATGCGCCGCCTAAGTAGCCGCAGTCGCAGTCTCAGCCGCAGTCGCAGCCGCAGCCTTGCAGACCAGTTCGAATATGAAGCGAAACATAAACCAAATAAACCAAATTGAAAACCAAAGAAAACAAAAACAAAACATTTGCCCAGCAATTTCAGTTCAGTTTTCATTTTCGTTGAGCGCCCACAACGACAACTGTTGCTGCAGCAGCAAAATGTTGCTGTTGTTGTTGTTGTCGGCGAATGCTGTGTACAAACAAAAATAGCTTTTTTTGGCTTCTTTTTTGCTTTGCTGTTTTCGGCTACCAAAATGAGTTCTAATTGCAGCAGCAGCCACAGCAGACACATAAAGAAATCGCTGCTGCTGCTGCTGCTGCTGTTGCTGCCGGCAGTTGGAACTAGATATTGGCGTTGCATTTGTTGTTGCCGCCGTCGCAGCCGCTTGAAAAGCTGCTGACCTTCAGCGGCACAGTGCGAAATGCTGCCACCTGTTTGCCCAGTCCACATATGAGAGAGCTGGCGATATTTAGGCATTCCTTTCGCAGTCGCTAATTAGGCATATCAATATAATTATGTTGCTATACGACGCATGAGTCATTGAGCAGGTTGCTGTTGCTGTAGTTGCTGTTGTTGTTGCTGATTGCTGTTGTGTTGTGCATATGTTGCTGACAGGAATGCCAGGCAACGCGCATCGTAGCGCGTTCTATAAATAGTTAACCTAATCAAAATGCAGGCGTGTAAGCAAAAGCATTTGCATAGTTGTTGCTGTTGTTGTTAGTTGTTGCTGTTGCTGCTGCAGCTGGCAATTAACTTTGGCATGCGCAGACATTGGTCTAAATGTCAAGGTAAATTATGATGCATTCAGCTATTACGTCTAATAGTCAAAAATGCACACGTGCAACTATTTTTAGTTGTTGCTGCTGTTGCTGCTGCTGTTGCTGCTGTTGCTGTTGCTGCTGCCAATGACAGTTTGTTAAACCTGCTCGAGCATATGTTGTTGATGCATCTCTTTGGCTGCGCCCTTTTCTACGCTAATTAACCAGATGCGCTGCCCGGCAATCGGCACAAAAGCAAAGCGAGTCCAGCCTGCAGCGTTTTTGCAACATTTAATCATTGCATTGCGGCAAAAATCGTATCATTAGCGTTTTAACGATTACGCGCTTTATCAAAATAGCAACGACAACAACAGCAGCAGCAGCAGCAGCAGCAGCAACAGTAGAAGCAACAGCAATTGCTGCGGCAGCAACAGTTGCCAGCTAGTTTCCAGTTGCCTGCTGGGACTATCGAGCGACGACTGCCTTGGCCAAAGCTATATGTAATATCTACAGTGGGCTTAAAATTAGGCATAAAAGCAAATATTTTTTAAAAAGATCAATTTTATTAAGATAATTTTGGTTTACTCTTAAAAAATATAAATATTAATAATAATAATATATTAAACAAAGAAAAGCAAGTGCTTTAATTATTTTATTTATTTTTAATTCTGTCTGCAATTCTTTGATTTTTAGCCACTGTGCAGCAACTGATCAAAAATATTTTGAGACATTTCTATAGGTAGAACAGCCGACACTAAGCTGAACACACACACACACACACATACTCTCCTATGAGGAGGCTGAATAAAAATGAAAATCAATGCTATCATTGAGCAAGTGCAGTTTGCTGCTGCTGTTGCTGCTGCTGTTGCTGTTGCTGCTACTGTGGCTGCTGCTGTTGCTGCTACTGTTGCTGATGTTGCCGCTGCGGCAGCACGTACATGTAATTTTTTTAATTGCATACAACAATTTAGAAATTGGTGTGTAGCAGCAGCTGCCGGCAGCAGCGATTTGATTCTCGACATAAAAAACCAGATCAAGTCGAGCAACTGTCTCGATTCGCATTGACAATTATAAATTTAATGGCTGCTCGAATAACACCTACAACACGTTGCATGAATGTTGCATAAAGTGAGCAACAACAACAGTTGTTGCCGGTAAGTTTATACTTTCACTGCTGTTGCTGTTGCTGCTGTTGCTGCTGTTGCTGCTGTTGTTGCTGCTATGCCAAACACATGTTGTTTGCTTCAAGGATGGCATATCCTCAGCAGGCGTAACTTGATACCAAACAACAGATGAGGCAGGAGACAATGCTGTTGATACTGTTGTTGTTGCTGTTGCTGCTTCACTCTTAATCAGGTGTAGCGCCTGATCCGCAACGACAATTACACACAAGCTGTTGCTGTTGCTGTTGCTGTTGCTGTTGCCGCTTGTGGCAATTATGCCATGAACTTGTTCTGACTGCGCAACTGCAACACGCTCTGAAATGACAGTTTCATTTCAAGTTAGTGCTGCTTCACAGTCTTGGGGTTGTTCACCTCCAACACCAACACCAACACCAACAGCAACAGCAACACCAACAACAACTCCAACTGTAGCTAACGCTCAACAGCAACAGCAACAGCAGCCAGCCTAGCTCCATTCCTACTTCAGCTTCTAAATGTAACTGCCATAGTTTCATGACTTGTCATTAGCTAATGTTAAGGCATCTTCCACTCTTCCACCCTCCCTCCCCACATGCCTCTGCCTCTGCCTCTGCCTCTGGTAATCACTAACCTCTGGAGCCACAATTACATGCACATCAGTTAAGTTTCGGCCTGAGTAATCACTGATCTTTGATACCAGCTGACAATGCGGCTCTGTCCATATTTATGGCCAAGTCAACATAGGTGGACGAAAGATGGGCAAGAGCTGCGCATAAATCAATTTTGCTAGCAATCAGGTGTTAAATGTCTATTTCAATTTGCTCTCAACTGTTTTGTGGAATGAAAAAAATAAATAAATAAATAAAATAAAATAAAAAAAATTAAAAAGTATAAATAAATTGATTTCTATATTATTTTATATAGAAATAAAGTCCAATTTATAATAATAATAGGCATTTAAAAGAATAAATAAATAAATAAATAAATAAAATTAAATTAAAAAAATTAAAAAGTATAAATAAATTGATTTATAAATAAATAAAATAAAATAAAAAAAATTAAAAAGTATAAATAAATTGATTTATTTATACTTTTTAATTTTTTTATTTTATTTTATTTATTTATTTATTTATTCTTTTAAATGCCTATTATTATTATAAATTGGACTTTATTTCTATATAAAATAATATAAAAATCTATATATATCTATTTTTTTTTTTACTTATTACATATTTAATTATTGAAAAATTATATTAACTAATTTAATAATTAAATACTTATAATATTTATATTGTGGCTCATGGAACATGCATTTAATAATGTGGAAAATTAGTTTTACGAATCTAAGCCTAAGCCCAAACAAAGAATATTATTGAATGTTGTTGCTGTTGGTGTTGTTGCTGCGCTCACTGTGACTGCTCAATGGTTTTGTGTGTCAGACCACAATTGAAGAACAGTTGCAATGAAATATAATCAACAATAACAGCGTTCTGCAATACTGCAATCATAAATACGAACAATTAAAGACTCGATGCTGATTTCAACACAGTTTTATGGAGGGGCTTAGGGGGCGCGACGTCTCTCAGGCCATTTCGAAAGATGGCACTTTTCACTTTTTGCCAGTGCCTGCTGCTGCTGCTGCTGCTGTCAGCTATTTGAAATGTTCACATGAGCCAACTGGAACTGAAGAACGAACAACTTAGAAGCTTGTCAGTCTGCTGTCAATGCTGGTGTTGTTTACTAATTGGTGCCACTGGGCGATGCCTTGCAGTATAAGAAGTAGCACGAAAAGTATATCTGAGTGAGTGTCATTTGGATGAAGATGTGATATATAATATATATATATAATTTAAAAATAATAATAATAATAAAAAAAAAAATAAACAGTTATCGACATCAACAGAGTAACTACGCCAATTACAGTTGAACTCATTCCGATTATTTATTTGCTTGATTTCCTTATTGGCATTTCGCATATTAGATGCGTCTTATCGATTAATACTGTTATCGATGTCGTTTTATTTGCCAACATTTGTCCATCACAAGCACAAATCAAGCTAACAAGCAAAATAAGTCAACATAGTCAAAGTCAAGAAAGACGACGCACTCAGCCATAACAACAACAACAACAACAACAACAATAACAGTAACAACAACATCAACAACAACAACATACACACGTGCGTCATTCTGCGTTCATTGCTCGTTTGTTTGGCACTCGAGGCGAAAGCAATTTCCTTGGAAAATTGCTGGCCCAGGCCAACGCCATCGTCGCCATGGCCATTGCCATCGTCATCCCAAAGTTGCCTCGAGTTCTACGCAGCTGAAGAAGCGCTTCATCAATTTTTATCGATGAAGACCCATTTGGTTGATAACTCCATTTGTGGCAAATGTTGAGCACGCGCGTTTTGTAGTTGCTGTTGTTATTGTTGCT